TATATGTGTGTGTGTGTGTGTATATACCGCTCAGTAGCCTATGAACTAGGGACCTAGGAGATTCACGATTAGTAGCGGGCACTTGGGGCACTTACCTGAAATAGAAGTTCGGCTCGACGCTGACCTTGGAAATCCATATGCCAGCCCTCATTGTGCTGTGCGCTAACTTTTGACATGTTGTTCCTTACAGTTATAAGTTGGTGGTGAATACCACGCTAAATGCCGTGCTTTGTAGACGCTATCTTGTAGCGTGGCGTGTGTGTGCGTGCGAAATTCATTTTTTCATATATATTATTATGATTCTAAATGTTTACTTTTTATTGTGCCTGTATTTAATCTGTACTGGAGTAGAAGAATTGTTTGAGCCTTGAATCTATTAAGCACATTTATCACACATTTATATTTTAGTTGACTTGCTTCCATACGAAATAGAATCAGACTTAGACTGTGTCAGCTGCTTCTCCCTTTGCTCCAGTACTGATCACCTCCTATACTATTCCTATACAGTACAATCATGACAGAGGTCAGGCGCTTCGTCTGTGACGACATGTTCCGCTTCAATACCGTGTAAGTTATAGTCGTTTTGTGTGTGTCAAAATCATATATTCGTGCACACATACTTATGATTTCACACGTTCGTATACACATATATGCTGTGAAGGATCGGGACTTTGGTGTGCTAATCGCGAATTTTAATTGCTGTGTATCATGTAAGTATGTGGCGAAGTCTTCGTTTCAATAAACACAGACGCATACGAGTATGCAAGTTTATCCTGTTGAGTATGGCGCTGACGAAAGGATTCGCACCACGGTTGCCATTTGTTCCCGACTCGTCTCTAAGATAAATGTAAGCTGGCATATTCAGCACGTTATCGGTGTTCTATATGTATGCATTCGTTGAATGAAAACGTACATATGTCTTCGGTGTACATACATATAACCATTCTAGTAGAGATATTCGGTTATATCCATTCAAACTTGATATCGATATATATATATATACTATTTATCCATATTATATATATATATATATATATACGTGTGTGTTGAGTGTATGTTATTTTGTAGATGTATATGTATA